ACAGTTTGCTTGTAAAATAAGAATTCCTTTCACAAAACCCAACTTTAACACAAAAGAAAGGGTAAAAAGAAGATTAAGGGTTAGTTATTATTGTATAGCTGATGTTAAGAATTTAAGGATTGCAGAGGCTCAGAGATTGTTATGCAATTGGCACATAGAGCAGCTGTAGTAGAGGAAGATGAATATTGGATTGAAGTGTCTCCAGAGACTGTTATGCAATTGGTAATCGATGATGATATTGCTCATATGCAATGACTGTTGACTAGTTTTGAGCACATCAAAAAGAGGGAAAGAATCTCCCATTGATCAATTGTGGCTTATTTAATTATAGTTCTGTCCCAACCTTCCACCATGAGATCTATAGACCAAAATCGACAAGGCCTAGGATGCAGTGTAACTGCTAACATTGTCCACTTGATATAAGCTCAAATTTGATGATAAGGATTAAGATAAAACATATTAGGAATCCTATATTATGTGCGAAGATTTTGGGGGAGAAATGAAGTGCAGACAAGGCTGATCTCTTCAAGGTGCATATCGTTTCAAGCATATAATGGCACTGTATTCCAAACTAGTTGTAAGTGGGTGAGTTCCGATTATCTTGGAAAAAAAAAACTTAGTGAAATTGAAGGCATTGGAACGAAACTCAAAGACATTGATGTCAGACTGATACACACAAAACATGGCTTTGATGCTTAAATCAAGACTGTGTCGGAAAAGTTGGTGAGTACAAACATGGGGATTGATAATTTAGATCTTTAGTTCAATGAGTGAGTCACAAAAGGTTCAATAAAAGCCAATGCAGATGTTGCTCATAATGCATTTGAACCTTGAAAATAATGTGGATAAGGCAAGGAAATTCTAGCAATATATGATCCCTAATGCACATGGCATTATTATTCTCTATAGACTAGATAGTTGATTGGCCTGACTTGTCCTAAATGTGTGAAGGAATCTTCTTAAACAACACTTTTACAAAAGTATAATCTATGTACGTAAGATATGTTCTATGTTCAGCAAATTAAAAAAGAAAAATAATTCATTCACAATCTTATCTTACGATCTTACGTGACAATAATTATGATTCATTTTTTTCACTCAATAAGACACGTGAATTAATATACATCAACTTGTTAATGTCATAATACTCCTGTGAGATAAAATTATGAGTAAATCAAGTTCAAATAAAAATTCTAGCAATCAACTTGTTCCTTGATTCAAGTTCCAGCTTATTTTCCATAATTTTGTAGATGATCTTCCTGATTGCAAAAAAACACAAACAGAGCCTACGAAAGCCATCATAATATGATGAAATCATATTCTCCCACTATGATTTCTACCTAGGACTTTAGATGTGTGGTTCTCATGTGATAGCTTGGGAACTATTCTCTGGGATTTCTTTATAATAAATATTGGACTGTTTTGTATTTTGCATATGCGCTACAGCATTGTTTAGTTTTGGGCAATGCTCCTTGGTTAAATCTACAAATTTCAAAAATATCAAAAAGAAAAGAAAGAAGAAAAATCTACAAATTTCAATGCTGCCATATATAGTTAAGTTTATTCTATTAACATTAACAAAATTATTTCTTTATTTAGAGGGCACATAATGATATTTACTTGAATTTGCTGCTCAATGAAAATGTAAAGAGGACTATTAATTAAGGCTCACAAGCATAATTTATACTTTTTTTGTTCAATCAAATTGCGGGTTAATTAGCTCAATTCATAAACGAACCGAGCTCAAACTCTAGTGCCTCTTCCTTCGGCTAGGCTTAGCAAGTTTTACAGCCCTGCATTTGTATGCCTAGCAATTGCTGGCTTTTTAAGTTATGACTTGGTGAGCTCCTGTCACATGTCCGACTTTCTTTTTCTTATTTCGATTTTTTCTTTTTGACTATATAATATCAACAATTATAGCAGCAGGAGAAATAAATAAAATAGGACGGATATAAAGAATAAAATAATCAAAATAAAGAAAAATGTTGTAGAAATTGGAAAAGATGGGCAGAATTTGAACGTTTGAACATGTGGGCGTACGTCTGAAATCGTACACATCACATGCAAGAAGCATGTGAGCACTCATGTTGGTCTCCTGTAAAGGAGAAGGAGATACTCCGAAAGCTGACACGCCACGCCGTTACTCTAATCACACTTCTTTGAAAATGACATCAAAGAGAAATCGCCAAATAAAGGCATTGCAGTTTTGATGCTACACACTCTCAACATGTACCAACCAATCTGCTGCCTGACTCTTGCGCCTTCAGTTCTCATCTTATCTGCAGAAAATCGAAAATTTGTTTTACAGTTAGGATTCTATTGGACTGTAAAATAATTATCTTTAAAGAATCCCTTGATATTAGGTTTTTTTTATTTAAGATTCATATTTTACAATTTAATACAAGACACGTTACAGAATAGGAGACCTTAGTGAACTTATAACTGTAAATTGTAATAATAATAATAACAAACATAGCCAAGAGGACCCTTCTTCATTTATATGTTTGGTTCTTTTTTGACATGGGATTAAGGGTGTTACACATGTCAAGTTCTCCTTACCATTAATCACCCACGTTTTTGCTGCCAATAGGACCCATCCTTCATCTCAAATCCTTTGCTTCTGTTTTTACATCCCGTGATTTGAGGTTCTTCCCCGGAAATTGGTAGGATTATCGGATAGACTCCGGGCATCCCATGTCGTACTTGGGACCATAACTTAGACCCCCCCCATTCCTGCAAAATCAAGAAATCATACCAAAAGGGAGAAAGACTCCATCCCCCACATCCATCACAATTATAATAACAACTTTTTTTTTCCTTTTTCTTTTTATTTAATTTTTCTATATAAAAATTAGGAGTCAAAATCCAAAACTACATAAATTTTATTATTTAAAGAATATTTAGATAGAGGGAAATGGAGAAAAGGGAAAATTTTTCTCTATTTAGTTGTAAAAGAAATAGAATAAAAAGAA